TTGACAGCTTCCAGGGCAAATATCCTCAGAATGACACTGAACACCCTAGATTTTCCTCAGCAGGAAAGGAAATGCCCTCCCTGCAGGCAATAGAGAAACTGGCGGACACACCAGCAAGTTGCAGTGGTCTGTGAGAAGAGCCATACATGTGGTAAGACAGTTTAGAAAGTTACAAAGTCCCAGTGAATATTGAGAACAGAGCAAGAGAAAACAGCAGCCTTTCAAAGGACTCTACATTTCACTGCTGCTGACGGTAAATGTGACCTTGGTAGATACTTATTCAAAAGAGTAGCATTGTTTCTAATATAAAAATGTAGCTGTTAGAAACAGAAATAGAAGAACCTGTTGTTTATAAACAAGAATTTTAAAGATACTTTTCTGATAATTGCTAAGTGTCATGCAGGAACAATTCTTCTTCTGTATTTTGGGAAGGCCCATCTTAGCCAGAAGGCCCATCTTTCTCTCATGTAAGAGAAAATATCCAAGTGCCTTACCTACTAGGAGCCCTTTTTAAAGGAACTGCCCCAGAGTTGTCTGGACATTTCTTTATGAAAAGACTTCTCCAGAGATCAGTGTAACCCGTGCTATCTCCCAACTGTGTTCTGAATGTGTTGATCCCTCTCTCCATTCCTCTACCGTTCCCCAAGCTATTGACGATCCTTTACCTAGACCTTTACCGTGGCTTTCTCACCCTGCCCTCCTTTCCCTTGGAATGCCCTCTTTTTACACTGCCAACTATTTCTTTTAAAAACACAAATTTGATCAAGTCATTTTCCTGTTTCCCACATGCTGGGCGCATTTGATTTCCAGTTGAATCCAATCCAAACCCCGTGCTGGCCGCAGAGTTAAACAGAATCTGGTCCCTGCTCAGTGCTCTGACTTCACCGTTGCCCCCTTTGCCAACCTGTCAAATCCACAGTGCTGTGTCCTTCTGCCCCCGAGTGTTTCCACTCGTCTTTTCTCCATAATTGGCTCGCTCTGCCTCTAGATATTCACAGTTGTTCCTTATTAGACTTTGAATTTCCTTTCAAACGTTATTTCCTTAAGAACCTTCCCAGACCTGTCTTCCCTCGGTGTTGACCCTGGATATTCTCCGTTGTAACTTTTTCTTCACAGCCCTTCGGGGTCTTCTTGAGGTTGTTTTTGTTGAATTGTTCGTAAAAGCTTTCACTGACATTGACAGAAGATGAAATGGGGGAAGAGCATCAGTGACTGGGAAGGAAGTGTTTACGCGTGGGGCACGGGTACATTTTTGGATGGAGGTTATGTGATTATGTGGGGGTTTTTTTGAGAAAAGATGGAATAAATTACTGTGTTTTTTTCTGGAATATGTTTCTTCAGAGCTTTTCATGTTCTAAGACAAAAATGTCTTTGCATTTTTTGCATTTACAAAAATTGCAAAAATGTCTTTGCATTTTTTGCATTTACAAAAATTGCATGAAAAGAAACAGAATGCATGCAACTCTTTGCAAAAAGTATTTGAAGGCTTCTTTCTACTTGTGTGCCAGTAAAATGGCAATTGAGAGACAGCTTGGCACAGCACTCTGAAGCAGAACTGAGTCCCTGCTCTTTGCTTCCCAGCTGTGTGACCTAGGGAACCTAAAGTCTGTACCTCCCTCTCCTCATTTGTAATGGTGGGATAATGATAGCAGTAATTTGGTCATTCGTTAAAATTAAACTGTGGACTTACTACATAGATGTTTTTAGAATGGACTGCGGCATATGCATAATCAATCAATGTTAACTGTTGTTACCAGAGTACAGAAAATTATCCTGCCTCTTAGCGCTTCTCAAGAAGTGAAATGTTCAAAATCACTGCCCATTCGAGAAATTCAAATTAAAGCAAAACTGAAATTTCACCTTACTCCAGAAAGGATGGCCAACATCCTGAAATCAAACAAGAACAGACTGTGGGAGAAAAAGGAACCCTCCTCTGCTGGTTGGAATGTGAATTTGTAAAACCACTATGAAATCAGTGTGGAGAGTCCTCAAAAAGCTAAAAATAGAAATTCCTTTTGATTCAATGTTGTAGTCAGGGTTTGCAAGGGAAAAATTTAATATGGGACACATAATTTATAGGATTATTTTATTATTGTCGTACAAAGAATCAAATACAAAAGAGAACAAAAATCTGTTCACACACTAAAGACTTGAGGAATCCAGCTGAGGACCTGAATCCCATGATAATGTCCTGTATGAGTCCAGCTAAAGACCTAGAGCTCATGATAATGCCCCCCCCCCCGCCCCGCCATCAGTCCAACTGGAGGTCTGCAGCCCATGACAATTCTCAGGCAAGTCTGTTTCATGGATCTACATTGGAAAGGCCCAAAGGTCAGTGATGGAAACTAGAAAATCTGTGCTAGCAAGATGAAAGATCTGTGCCAGCAGGCTGAAGTATCTGCACTGCAGCCAGGAAGCGATGCTTAAAGTAAGAACCAGAGCTCCCTCAAAAAGCACCACAGCCATCTTCAGTGATAAGGTCCCAAGCTCCTCTGACAATGAGGACAGGAGAGTTCATATCAGGCAAGCCACCATGACAGGCTCCTCCAGATTCAAAAACATGCCATCTTCGTCTCCTGAGCCGGGAAGTGATGCTCAAAGTAAGGACCAGAGCTTTCCCCAAACGAACCACAGTGATCCTCAGAAACAGAAAGGTCCTGAACTCATCTGATGATGAGAATAGCTGAGTTCATATCAGGAAAGTCAGTGCAGACAAGCTCCTCCAGGACCAACAGCACCACCTCTTCCTCTGCAGTTCTACTTTTTATGTTGTTGGTAACAATCCTCAAGTGTCCTACACCCAGCATCGCACTGGTTCAGTTCAGCTGAGTGTTACAAGTTGCCCGCTAGGTGTCAGTCCACCACTCCCAGGTAATCCCCTGCTAGATGTCCTCCCGAAACAGTTAAAAACATTTATTATGGGTATGTATTATGGGTCATGTTTCTAGCAGAACAATTCTTAATAGTTCTATGTCAGAAGCAGATCATTTATCTATCAACAGATGAAACAAAAGTGAAAATGTGGTATTTATACATGCTGGAGTACTACTCTGCCATGAAGATGAACTTGAGCCATTTATGGACGCATAATGAGACCATAATGAAAGAAATGAGACACATAAGCTTAGATCATGTGTTTTATATTAAAATTTCAAATTATAAAGAACAAAATAAAAGAAATGCTAGAAAATAGATCTTTCTTCAAATGGAATCAAGAGATGGAAGCAGAGGGAAATGAAAGGATGGGAAGGAAATGGAAAAAGGGTTTAACATGTTTTATGTACCTGTACTAACTGGACACAAGGAATGTAACATTATGTACTACAAACATGGACTAATTAAAAGAAAAAAATTGGAATTTCTATTTCCACTTCAGATGAGGTGATAGGAGCCATCCAAGGACTTCCTACTTTTGAAACGGTTCCCTAGTTTTGGCCACAGATTATCACAACAGATGGACATTTGCATTTTATCTCAAAACAATGAAACAATGGGAAAAAAACCTCACCATCAGAAACTGAGAAATAATGAAAGTGACATTTGATAAATATCAAATGGGGATGTAGAAAACTCTTTCAGCTTTGTTAAGCAGACACACACACACACACACACACACATCTCACAGCTTTTCAATGTATTTGTTGTGCAGCTGCATATACCAAAGTAAAAGTGTGCCCCTTAATCTTGTTTGTTGATTTATTTTCTTCAGTCAAAAGAAGGTCAAAATCCAGGAGTGGAAATCTCAGCTTTTTTACTAATCATTGTATTTCTAGTGGCAGTGTAATTAGATAGATAAGAGCTGGAGCCAGATAGCGCCAGTGCAACCAGGAAGGACAGAATCTTACAAACAGTGTGGCCAGACATCCTCCTCTGAGGAGCTCATCCTCAGCTAATGGGGTACAGTAAAGACACAGCTTTGGAAGGCTCCCTGCTACGCCTGACTGTGGGGGCACTGAAGGCCGGAAACCAGCCTAGGATTCATGAGCCTGGCTTTGTTCCTCAGGACATAAGACTTCCTGAGCAAGCCATAGCCCCAAAGGTTATGAAACAGAGGATTCCATCCCTAACTACATTTCCCTCCCTCTGCCCCTAATAAACAACAACTCCCATCTCTCTCTGGACACTTGGACTTTCCCTGAGTTGCCCCTTTGGAGTTCACTCAAGTGTGCTAGGCCTGTCTCTCAACACACTGTCTTGCTGAGCCTGTGATTTGCTGACTGTGTTTATTCACTGAACATTTCCTTGAACAGAGTCCAAGACCTGAGACAAGTATCACAACTGCTAACAATAGCACCAAGAACATATTTGGCATCAAGTTAATTAATGTTTGTTGAATGGATACTCTAAGGGGCTTTTCAACTTAGCTACCTTAAATATCCATTGCTTTAGCTAATTAGCTTATTCAAGACAAAAGTAGTCACTGCTGGAACCGGATAAGCCGGTGTGCTTTTAAATGTCCCATTACATTGCATCACATTTCCTCCTTTTAAGTATTTATCCAATTATTGTTTACACTCCATCCTAAATTCCTCCTAAATATGATCACCTCACTGCCTGCTACACTGCCTAGTCTTTTGGTCCCCCGAGCCCATTAGCAATTTACCAGTGGGCTAATATGGAAATCTGGAATTTCTCACATCTATCAAAATGTCAGGGGCATCCTATGGAAATGAATATTCTCACCTACATCAGCTCAATGCTTGCACAATTTTTCCTGTTTTAGTGTTAAGTTTCCCAATCTGTCTGCCTAATTGAGCCATTGTTAACATTTATACAGTTTTTTAAAAATTACTAAGTGAAAGATTCTTTTATTTACAAAAGACTTAAAGGCTTCTTAGTCACAAAGGAAGGAAAAAGTTAACCAACACTGAGTTTTCTGGAGTCTTCTGATAAGCTGTTACAGTTGGAGCCAAGGCCATGCAAGAGTTAACTGTTTAAAAAAATCTAAACAAAACAAAAAAGAAAGGAGGAGCTTTTGGTTCCAAGGGACTAATCTTGGAACCTGTTTCTAAGATTATAACCTACTTTATGCAACCCTCAGAGCCAAAGAAACTTTACCAAAGGATTAAATCTTATGTAAACAAAGATCCCTTTATTTACATCTCCACTTCTCTGAAGAACAAGACGCTCCAGTTTACATGTTCGCAGTGCTTTACTTGTAACTCAACATGTAATTTGTTTTTTAAAAAGTTTGACGTTCTTGCAGACTAGAAGCAGCAGTGAATGGAGATGGTGTATGCAAAGGTAAAAGTCATTCATTTATTTGAGTTGTAGGTTGCAATCTCTTCTTCTTTAAAATCTATTCATTTTTGCTTGGAGATAATAAGGTAGACTTAATACTTAATGTTAAACTTCAGATTCTTTGGCTGTTTGAAAAACCTCGCCTATATTTTCCTGATAGCAGTAGCAACTCTCGTGAATGGAGATTCTTGTAAAGTAGCAGTAATATGGTTTGTTTATATGTGCGTATAAAGATACATACTTTGAGTTTTAGATATATAGTTACAAGTAGTTTGGAGAATTAGAAATGAGTCTACATGATTCTGGATACTGTTCTTTCCTTCCTACTTTCTCAGTGTCCTGAAAGGCCCTTATTTTTCAGCTTCTTTTACATCAATACTTCAAATTCTGATCAAGCCTACATTTTCCACATTCCTTTCTCCTGCAATCTCAGACCATTAGTTATCTATGCTGTACTCATGTACACACTTGGCAGTCACATACACAAACTTTAGTGGCATTTGCATTCCAAATTTAAAAATGAAAACATCCAAATAATGAAGCAATTTAAAAAGCCAGTTTAGTACATATAATTTTATATTTCCTTCTATCCTCACATAAACGTATGTGAATATATGCAGTTGTGTGAAAAATATATGCTCTCCTTACTTTTATTAACAAGAGCAGGATCATGATTATGTACAAGCCTTATTGCTATTCTCATTTATCTCTGTACTATCACTGTCTCTCTAAGTCAGTGTGTATAACTTGCTGAGTTTAGTCTTAGAAACAACAACTATTTCTATACAATGACTTCCAAAGTGACATTACAGAAGCATCATCTACTGAAGTTTGCAACCCTACCATTTCTCTACCCCATTCCACTAAATGTTATAAATCTTTTCCATTTGGAAAATTACTTGAAAAACATGGAAGTTAATTTTATTTCCATTTCCTTAACAGGTAGTGATAATTTTATTAAAAGTTTTGTATTTTAGTGAATATTTTCTATGATTTTTAATCCATTTGCATTTCCCGTTTCCAAACCCCAAATTCATGCATTTCACACTTTAGCCCTCCTTCTTCTCTTCTTTTTCTGAGGTAGGGATTTGCTATGTTACCAGCTTGGCATAGAAAAATTGAAATCTTTTATCTTTTTGCCTCAGTTTCCTGAAACCTGTGATTGAAAGCATGTGCATCTGACCTATGTTTGCTTTTTTTTCCTTTTCAGATTGTAGGAATCTGTTTCTTAATTATTTTCCTTATAAATCCTGACTTTCATATATGTTTTAGTTTCCCATATCTTTTTAAATTTACCTACTGTATTTTTTGTCCTCATGTAATTTATATTATGAAGTAAAATAGGCTTTTCCTTCTTTCTTTCTTTCTTTCTTTCTTTCTTTCTTTCTTTCTTTCTTTCTTTCTTTCTTTCTCTCTCTCTCTCTTTCTCTTTCTCTCTCTCTTTCTTTCTCTCTTTCTTTCTTTCTTTCTTTCTTTCTTTCTTTCTTTCTTTCTTTGTTTCTTTCTTTCTTTCTTTCTTTCCTTCCTTCCTTCCTTCCTTCTTTCTTTCTCAGTATTGCTTTTCCTTACCTAAATTTTTGCAATATATTTTCATTTTTTAAAAATTTTCTTTTACTTTTAGTTTATTATTACATATACATAACACATCCAGATTTCTTTTTCCATGCCCTTTCCCATTCTTCCATTCCCCTCCAGTTTCACTTGATCCCTTCCTCTTTTTGTTTTTCTCTTTTTTTTGATACATTGGTACCAAATAATGATGAAACTCTTAATCATTTATCCTTTTTATTTTTGAACATGATGTTAGGCAGATCTATCACTTTTATTTCTTGCCAGATGCTGATCCAGGTCTGACATCAAGATATTTTATTTAATAGGCTGGAATTTTCCTGATGAACTAATATTCAAGTATTTATTATGTACTACATTTTCATTTATAGTTGTTTTAGCTATGGAATCAATTTTGTGCCAAAAACCTTTTATCTGTTTGTGAGTATATCACATACTTTAATGAAGTTAGGGTCACAGAAGGTTTTGTATCATCTCTGGAAGGTGACTGTCGTATTTTCAGGCAAATCTTACATAGATTTTATTTGATTATTTGTGGTTCTGGGGTGAAGCTCCTAAACTTTGTTCATTCTAGGCAAGTATTCTACTACTGAGCTAAGACTCCAGTCCCACACTGGTTCTTTGATGTGATTTTAAAAATTAGTTTATTTAATTTTAAAAGAAAATTACAAAACAGTACCTCTATGAAACTGATTAATATTGCATTAAATATTTATATTTATTTCAAAAAGGTAAACATGTTAATATTTTTGGTCCATAAGCATGGTAATTTTTCTTTATGCAGTATGTTTATCAATATAGAACCGTTATCTTCCTAGAGTTACTGTACATTTTTATTAGGTTTCCAAGTTGTTTTATAGTTTTGATTGTTACTATAAATGGGATTTAATTTTAAATTCTATGTATTATGGACTTCAGTTCTGTATATTTATTGTGTATCTTGTATCTATCAAATCATTTTCTGAATTATAAAAACCTTTTATAATTGTTAGCAAGCATTAATGTTTGTCTAAAGAATTTTTAGACTCATAATATTATGTAATTCTTTTTCTTATCCTAATTTAGCTGGAAATATGAAAGCAGTTTTAAGTGAAAATGATATTATCAGGTACATTTGTTACTATTTTTAATGGTACAAGTTTTATTTATTTCACAAGGCACTTACACAGTATTTAGTAAGTTCCTGGTGCATTTCTGTCTTCATCTCTTTGCCAAGATGGGAGAAATTGTGAGCATGATATTGAAGAAAGTTTTGGTAATTTTATGTGACTACATCTTGTCAGCTAATGAACATTGAGAACTTCAGTGTATCACCCACTTCTAGGTTTTAGAAGTGGAAATACATCCTTTAAGTATGACTTTTGCTGGGAGAATTTACTATTCCCCACAACAACATCCTGGTTATGTCTTCCCGATTTTGCAGAACTGAATTTGTAGAAGTGTTCAAATCACCTACACAGAGACAGTTTACTTTATTTATAGTTTATGTTCCTGAAGGGAAGTCACAGCGTTTCCTATTTTTGCTGAATCCCTGACAAACTGACTAGAAAGTGGAAGAACCTCTTCAAAAGCTTTTATGTAAGAATAGCTTTGCTGGGCTTTGATGTATTACCTCATGTACAGATGCATGCTCTTCCCTTGAAATCTACTGTCAATTAATCTGGAAAGAGGGCTACCATTTATAGAAACCCTACACCCATCTTTCCTCTAAATAGATCACTACATAACTGTTAAACAAGACTAGGTTCTGCATGCTACTTGGAAGATATAGGATGATCATTTCTGTTCTTATTATTTTAAAGATTTAAACATTATGAAATACTGTTTCCTTAAGATATAGTTAAAGGAAAGAGTTTTATTATTACAATGTTGTTACTGAAAGTCAGGAATCAGCCTGGGGTAGGTGATTCTCCAAATGGTATAATGGTTCCTGCTCTTGGATTCTCCTAGAGAAGATTTGAGAGGAGGATCATAGAATGAACTCAGTCAGCAAGTAACTGTTTAAAAGCTTCTGGTGCATAACAAATAAGATAATTGTATTGGTGAGGGCAATCTGGTTGGAACATATGCAGGTACACAGAGCCTAGAAGTAGAAATTTCCCAGAGGACTAGAGTGGATTTCTCTTCTGTGGTCTTAGAATTTGAGGGGTTGTAAAGGTTTGTGATTGATGGAGGTTTCTTCTAATCAACTGTGAGTCTCTACTTTTGACCCAGTAGGAGTATTTTAAATTGTAGTCTTAACTGGATCAGGATGGCAGCCAAAGTCTATTAATGGAGTCAAAATTGAAAAGCAAATAATTGCAGTGCATCCTGTCAAGCAGGGTCTACATAGATCATCATGTGCTTTGGGTCCCCTGTTACTGACTGTGTGGGGCCCTAGTGTTGTGACACTGGGTAGGTAGACCATGAAGGAAGCTTGACATTCTCAGGAAATCTGGGTAGTACAACTTAAGCAAATTATAGAGTATTGTGTTTTTTCAGATCTTCTTACCAGGGCCAGGTTGCCACTGTTTCATTTCCAGCTTGTGTTAAGTATCTACCTACCCTGTCAATGCCACTTGGTTATTTGAACTCTTCGTGGTTCTATGCCTAAAATCAAGTAGTGCCCAAACATGCCAAACTGCTATGTGAATGGCAACTTTGTTTTTCTGCTTTCAAGTTTATTGAAAGCAATAAAAATTCTTACAAAAGAATTTATTATTTAGCTTTTGGAGTCATTTCCTTTGTTGATTTCTGCGAAATCTATGTAACAAGTTTATCTAGACTTACAAAAGGATTGCTAATTGTACTTGTTTGTGTTTGTCAGTAACCCTTTTTTGAAATTACTCTTAGATAAGATTAGCTATTTTAAAGAGCATTAAACTTATCAATGTCAAATTTAATTTTTAAAAATTTTGCTTGTTTCTAAAAGTCTACCAAACTATTGACAGATGAACAGACAAGTGCTTTCTGAGACTTTTATATGTAGATTTATAATAAATTTCCCTTATGATTGAAAAAAATGGGTGTGTTTCTAATTATGTATTTAATAAAATTACAAAATTTATTATTACTTAACAGGAGTAATTCAACCTAAATAAAGGAAACTTTTAAAAACCTTTATAGGGAATTTTTACCCAGATTGACATTTGGGAACATTTTACCATTCACCTCTGCATAAGTAGGTATTCCAACTATTAGAATTAGAAATATGTGTTATATCAAAAGTAGCTACAGAGCATAAATATTTGGCCACTAAAACATAACTACTAGAACTCCTGAGATGGTTTTGGGATTTTGCTCCTAGGTGGACTGAATTCTTTGATAATAATGGAAGGTAGTATCTACCATGTTAATATTTAGCATAGGTAAAAGGTAAGCTTTTCTTTTGTAATGTATAAAAAGTGAATTATGCATAAGAGAGTTGCAAAACAGGACTAGTCTGCCTAAAAAGC